CAACCGTCATCCATTAATTTTTCGATATATATACTAAGGAAAAGCACAGCCATCCAAGGCAAAGATTGCCTGGTCCAGAAGTTCCGTAACAGTTCGGTAATGCTTGAGGCACCTCACTATCGCCCCAAGGTAAGTAGGTATCTTTAACAAACAACCAAGCGGTAGTTGACTCTTTCCTAGCTTTTCTATACCCTAAACGGACCACGCCCTGACTTGGCTGGAGAGGAGGAGCCATTCCCTGAGCCTGACAACCAATCGAAGATGAAGAGAAGCTGTGAAAATGCTGAACACGTGGGTATGTTAAATCTACGCTATATGTTCTAGAGAGGATGGTTATTAATTGCCTTTGGTTAGGACTCTTTACCCCTAATGCAGGCCAGCATTTCCGCGACGAGCAACGACGCCGCCGTTCTCAATTCGATCGTGGAAACCCGCGACTCGAGGAGTATGACTATGATGCAGCTATTTGCCGTCAGAGTTATTACCCCCCTCAGTAAGCTCTTAGGGGCTTTTGTAGCTGCCTCTCGAAAGACCTTCCATTTGATTTTTTTTGTCCTTTTTTCCCATCTGCCGGATTCGTCCCGATACAAATCGTCTACCGGATCCACAACACTTCTAGTGACACTAGAATTTCAGAGCACCTGCCTTATTTACCGAAATCTGCTTGCTAGTAAGTATAATATGTGTTATCATTTATGATTATGTTGGTTGACACGGAGTGGCTGAGCTAACTTTAATATAGGTTTGACGATGCCTTCACTGTTTTCGTGTCATCTTTTAGGGGGGTCTATTGATACTGGAAGGGAAACCACCAGTACCCCAAACTCGTTATTCATAACAATCTAACAAAAAAAGTAAAAGGAATCCATCGCGATCACGTGGCATTAAAGTGGCCATGCAAAAACCATAACGACTTGAATTATGGATTATTGTTGAATCTTGCCGGCGAAGAGAATTCACAATATTTCCGCTCCAGTAACAGAGCCACAATTATTGTTCACCCTCGAATATCCGATCGGTTTCCGCGGCGCCTCTGGCATTTGCGGGAAATCCATGAAAGTGTGGTTGGTTTGGGTTTCGAGATGTTGTCTACCAGACTTCTCGGACTTGAAACAAATTCAACTACCTACCCCAGGGACAACTACCTGGACTGCGCGCTAGCGTTTTCTTTTTTCCTTGACACGAATTTTGGGAGATTCTGAGTTTCTAGACAAACTATTGCTATCGAGTTATACTACTCGGGAAGATTTTCAGCCTCTACATTGTTTCGGGCATCTCTTGATGCACCCCGGGGTCATCGTGTATAATGGAAGATCGGAGCTCCATTATACTCGACAGAAGCCAACTCGAACGACTAGGAGAATTGGTGCCACCATAGTTAGGCTTATGGTTGGCGCTTGGTTCAGATTGGCCTGGTTTATTAGACTGGGGCATCAACTTTGGCAGGACAGAGAGGGGTGGAGCGTGCTTATTCTGTTGCAGAAAATTAGAAAAAAATCGCGTAGCTTTACATGGCATGGGGAGTGGCGACTGCTTTTATCTTTAATGCTCATACTTAGCATTAGATCTTGGGCGCGATAGGCAATAATAAAATGCATTTCTCGCAAACACTTGGCTCAATAAGATACATAGGTACTTGAATCTGCTTGATTAATCATGGTCTCATTATTTGTAGCTTCCAGGCTTTAAAGCTAAATAAACCAACTAACTCTGTATACACTAATCGGGATCCTCTGGTAAAGTAGGCAGAGGCTTTTGCGCTGATGTAGTATGCGTTAGAGGCGGCCTACTCGATAGAGGTAGATACTCTACACCATCGGTCTCCGATGATGGCGTCAACTGTCTCTCTGACTTCCTAACTAGCGCTTCAGGGTAACTCAACGCACTGCTATTTCCACTGTCGACCACTGTAGAGTAATACTCTCCCTCCCTACACGGAGTCATGGCCGGCTTCGAGTCGTAACCCGCTTCTACGCCTGGCAGCGTGGGGGCCCGGTAGAAGCCAGTTAAAGCGGGCTCGGACGTGACTCTATTCGGCGAGGGCATTCGATGGCCTACAGACTCGGGAGTCTCGTTGATGCTAATAACGCCAGCTCTAGAGGAACTCATCCTCCGCGCCCGATGATGTAGGGAAGAATCTGGCGTCTGGCTTGGACTGCGATGTAGATGAGATTGCTGCGGGGTGCTAGGGATGGGGACGGGACTAGCGTCCTCGGGGGAGAGCATCGCTGCTCCGTCACGGCGGTGATACTGGGCTCTAGGCGTAGACGGGAAGATAGGAGACGCGAGCCTCGAGGGGCCGCCACCGCCAAAGAACTGGGCGGGATAATACGAAGATTCAGCGGCGGCTTGAGCGAGGCCACCGCGGGAGAAAATAACGAGGATAAGGCACCCTAGAAGCAGGACGCTCTGGACAATAGCCATGCGCTTTTGAAAAATGACCTCGTCGGCGAGGGCGCCGAGGCGGGAAGATAGAGCAACGATCTCGCGCTCGGACTGCTCTCGCTGGGTCTCAAGTGCGATGACGGTGGACTGCCAAATCTGGTCGTACTGAACACGGACCTCACGCAGCTCGCCGAGGACTGTCTTATTCAGGGTATCTAGGAATAGGTCTACCTTGGCTACTTGACGCCTTTCAAGGCGCGCTAGCGCTTCTCGTAAGAACCGCGACTGCGACTCGATATATTGTAGAGATAAAGTCGTGTTAGACTCGAGAGCTTGGATGCGCTTATTAAGCGCTTTGAAGAAGGAGTCTTGGACTGTGTGCGCGGGGGCAGCGGACGAGGTTGTGGTTGTGGTCTTGTTGCGTGGCGTTGTTGGGGAACCGGAGGGCTGACCCTTAGATGCAGCCGACCGCGAAGACGGTGGCTTTACAACAGAGGTCGAGGCGGATGTCTTGCTCTTAGGGGGCGACTGTGCGCTAGCGGTCTTTGCAAGGTTTGGAGTCGCGACTGTGGTGGGTGTTGTGGCAGTTGTTGTTGGTGTTACAGTAGCTGGCCTTGAATCTGGTGATGACGTTGAGACAGGAGAGGATTCAGTTGAATTTGCAGTAGCTGTACTCGCTGTTGTCTCATTTGAACTGCTTGGATAAGCAGATCTCACCGAGTCTGCTGTTACTTGACTTGCGGACTGTGATGTTGGAGTCGTTGACGAGGATCCGCTTGAGCTAATCGACATTGTTTGTTCGACAGTCCTTACAGGTTGCGGCTTAGCTGCTGTTTTGTTCTTGTGGTTTTCCTTGCTGCGTTGGAACGTATAGTCCTCTGCGCCAGCTGCTTCGCAAGTAGCGTTAAAAGGGTAGTAATAGTGGAAATAGCTCTTATCCCAATAGGGGATTAAGTCACTCTGCTCTGTGGGTATTATCCGATCCTCAGGCTGGGGGGGTTCAGCGACCTCAACTTCTTCGGCTTGGGTTTCGGTTTCTTCAACCTTCTCCTCAGGGGCTTCGGATATTGTCTTGTCCTCTTCGGGCTCAAGATCAGCAGGGTCGGCCTCTTTCCACGAGTCCAGCATGCGTGTACCGTGGACTCGCAACAGGGACATAGGGCAATAATACTCATTGCCATAATGGCTTAGAATCTCGATTCGCAAGTACTTGGCCCAGATTTGAGGGTTCTCGACTAGGAATGGCTGAATATCTCTGGAATTACGAGCTTCGAAGGTACCTAATATCTTCCACTTCTCTAGCTTGACGGGATAACGATCGCTTACACTAACTCGAAAGTGGCGTATCATGCTAGAGAAGAATTCGAAGTTGGCTATCACAACAGTATCGACTAGGATGTCGTCGCTCAGTTCGATAATGACAAACTTGTTCTGCATGGCACACTCAAGGAGCATGTACGTGTCCTTATTTTCGACTAGGATGGCCCTGGGATTCTTAGCACCAGGGCTCGCCTTCTTTACCGTTGCGCCGGCATCGAACGAGGCGTAAGAAAGCCTCTCCTTACACGTCTTGCCAGCATCCTTACTACGATAGCCCTGAGCCAGCCCCTCGTCGTAGTTAACCTTCTCAACCTGCTTTTCCTTGTCCTTCTCCTTCTGCGAGGGCTTCGTCGACGATGCTATCTCGGAGATCCTATCAGAGTATGCGTCAAAGTCGAGTGACACCTCGCCTTCGTCCCCGAGACTATCGAAGTCCTCTCCGGGGTCCGCATCGCCGTAGGTTTCTCTACTCTTGCGCTGTCTCAGCTCCAGCGCGTCCTGCCCAGATTTCTCGAGCATCATAGCCTTCCATTCTTCAAATGACATAAAAGCACCTGTGCTAAGGTCATTGCCATCGGCGTCTAGCTCCTCGTCATGGTCGGTGCTATCAGCGCTGGGCACCGAGTCGGCGGGTATAGAAGTAGAGGTGACGGTGGCGCTAATGGATGCGGGAGTAGAGAATGACGATGGAGCGGATGTAAGACATTGCTGAGGTAGAGTATGAGTGATGTAGTTCACGGTCCTCGACTCGCACGTAGGTTCGGCCGAGATGGGGCTCGAGGGGGATTTTGCGACATCGTGGGTAGTCGAAGTACTCGAATTGACCTGAGCAAATATATGGCCTGCGATTAGAAGCAGACGTAAAGAGATATTATTTACACGTCGCCTTTCGGATGCGAGCCACATTGCAAGTGCGGTAAGGACTCGCGTCGAGCAAAAAGATAGTCCATGTGGTAAAAGTTAAAAGTGCAGAGGAAAAGTGAAGAAAGTAAATTGCAACAAGTACAGATGTAGATTATGATGTCGATCCTAAAAGACATAATTCTATGTACATCTACATTTCTGGAAACTACATACAGGTGGCAGCAGTTGCTGATTCCGTTTTATTATTACTGAGAGAGGCTTAGCTAGATTTGTGTAGCTGGATTTTAGGCCTTTCTGGGGAAGTACCTAGGTTAGGTATGTATAATCATGGTACCAATTAGGTGACTTCCTTGGTCCGCAAATAACCCAGGTAACGACTCCCCACCTACGTATTTCCATAGCTCTTGCTTGTTGCGAGAAAAGAGTTTAAGTGAAGAAAGAGAGAGAAACCAATAAGTGTTAATAGGGATAGAGCCTAAAGCTTTCTTCTAATTTATTTACTCGGTGGAAAGAATTATAGGAGAGTTACACAGCAGATGGATACATCATCTATCTCTATTCCACAAGTTATAAGTTGCAACTTACACAATTATCACGCATTCTCATTTGTCCTCAATTACATATGTCAAGATTGTTCAAGATGATAGATAGCCTATCAACCAAGTTCGAACAAGCTCTGATCTTAACAGCACCCAAGAAACCCGGCACGTCCTGTTTACTCCTCGGTCTACCCGTAGAGCTCGTTTCCTACATATTATCCCTCCTCGACCCTAAACATGTCGCACTCTTCTCTTTGACTTGCAAGGCCTCCTCCCTCCTTGTCCGGGGTACCGACTACGGCAAGATTTGTCTTGCTTCTATCCATAGTGCTCTACACACTGACTTAGATCAAGCCTCTCTTGAGAGAACCGAGTTCCTTCATCACTTGGTGAAGGACCTCCCGCATCTATTTGTCTGCAAGCGCTGCTCAAAGCTTCATCACAATCTCGTCAATCTTGTTGAAGAGGGTTCGCATGCTCTGGAGAACTCTACCTCAATTCGTCGTCAAAAAGGTCTTATGACTTTTGGTACCCTATGGCCACAGTATGCCTTCACCTGCAGACAGGGCCGTGAGGCCATAAATAAGTATATTAACGGCATGGAATCTAACCTTGCGACTTCCCATCTCTCTATATCTACCGACTGGAAGCTTAGGAGATTAGGAACGTCTTGCAACAATCCGGATTTCATCCATGGGTACGTCAAGTTGGACACCGAAGCAGCAGTCGTGAATGACAACTTATACTTCCATAAAATTCAACGGATACTACTTCTTCCAGACAGAGTTAAGCCTTTTCTCAAGGCGAATGCTTCGTCTCCCATGGAGCAAGTTTTCCAATCTTGCTGGCATGGTACTGAATTTCGGTCCACATTTCGTCCCTTCCTGGATCTGTTGGATTGGAATGGTCTCCATAAAATGAGTGTGCATGATACCATCTCCAAGTTTGCCACTATGGCACATGAAAGGCTGTTTCTAATGAAGCCAGCCGGGCTGGACGGTTACGACCTGGACGGGTTTTCGCTGCGAAACTACCCGCTTGCAGGTTGTAAATACTGTACGACTGAAAATACCACCACCATTCATAATCACGGCCGCGGCGGAGTTGAGATAGTAAGCGATACCTACCAGGATCTCGGTGATTGCATCGACGACGTTATCCGGGATTATGACAGCTCCGTCAATAATGAATGGGGATACTGTTGGTCGGGCCTAAGCTACGAGTATCGGATTCTCTTGTCCAGGCGGCAGGAACACCCCCCGGTCAACCCTAGAATATTCCTTACACGTCCTGGTACCAGTGCTATACATCATCCGTCTGCACCAAGTATCCGGGATATCTGGGAGTTACATGATCACGACAAAGAAGCTAAATCGAGATTATTATGATGATACCCGAGGTGTATTTGAGCGTTGGCGTTTGGAAAATTATAAGGGAAAAGGATATACCACTTATGTCGTTGGGTACCTACACTAGGTAGCTAGTTAGTCTTAAGGGGTTATAGCTGATTCTACCTAAGCTAAACGAATTTAAAAATAATTCAACACGACGAAGCTGTCCGTTGAGAGAACACCCAAGCCTTGAGCTGAATAATACGCCAGTTAGTCTCTCTAAAACCTGGAGAATTGGCTCTCTGTAGTTAACTATTAGTAGGACTACTGTTAATAATATCGTAGCATATCTTAGGTAGTCATCACATTTATTAATAATAATAAAACAGCAAACTAAAAACTCTTTATCAAGATACATCTAACAGCACACTAACGTACGTATGTAGAATTTAGTTTTTAAGAGCGGTTATTCGATGATAGTAGGGTAGCCAGCCGAGGGCGGCCCGGGGTATTGCTTAAGGTAGCTTCGCCAAAAAAAAAATACTTTGTTTGGTGTTTGTGGTACACATGCCGTTCGTTTCCTCTTTGCCCGTCGCCAAGTAATAGAAGAAGAACCACACCTCCTTGTACGCCTTATTTCTGTGCCGCTCGAGGGCCAGACCTTCCCGGCCCCGGCCCCGGCCAAATCTTTACTTGCAAAAACCACACAATGTTGACGAAACCGTCCAGAAAAAGAAAATAAAACAGAATTATTTGTTGTAGCTGTTAACGACTCGCTTGACTATATCTTAAGCAAGTCGTTTCTGTCCCATAAATACTCATTGTTCACCATCGCTCTGGCCACCCCCTATGCCCGCGTTGCCCTGGTTGGCGCCGTTAGTCACCAACTTTATCCTTGTGGTATTTGCAGAAGACTGAGGCGTTCCTGCGCTCGTGCTAGGAGCTACCGAACTATCTTTTGCAGATGGGTCTTCGAGCTCGGCTAATTCCGGATGCTCGTTAAACTCTTCCTGTGCTCGGTCATTGAAGAATTTCTATGCTGAGTTAGTATAACGGCTTAGGATCAAGTCAGGTTCATCTAAACATACCTCCATGACAATTGCGTCTGAGTAAAGAAGACTTCCGTCTTCATTGTACGTTTTGCAATTGCTGCACATCAGGACGATATCCTTACGCATATCATTGATGCTATTATACTCCTCCCTTTTAATCTTGGCCTGAATTTGATTCATACAAATCGGGTTGTGGATCAGGACATAATAGTCACCATAGTCGCGTTTGGATGGTAGCTTGACAAACGGCCCTATGATCAGTCGCTTGGTTGGCTCATCATCGTCGTCGTCATCATCGACCTGGTCTTCAGGAGCTATGTCGGCTTCGAGATTCATCAATCCATCATAAAGACTGCGTAAACTCCTCTGAAGAACTTGCCGTAACTCGGGGCCAAGACGCGAATCGCTACCATTACCCATCGACGCTCTTGGGCGCCCCTGAGGCCCGCGTCGCTTTTTAGCAGGCGGTTCGCCGTCATCATCTTCAGCCTTCCGTTTCTCGTTCTTACTGCCAGGCTTGCGACCACGCTTCTTGGGTGGCGTTTCGACTTCTTCAGTGCTCGCACGGCTCGCATTCGGAGAGTTGGCGCTTGATACATTGTTAAGTACCGCTATCCTCTTCAGTTTGTTCGTTTCTCGTTTGTCCTTCTTGGCTTGCTTTCGCGCCGCTGCTGCCTCTGGGCTGTCATCGTCATCGTCGACAGCCATTAACCACTGCTCCTCAGTAAGGCCATCGTCATATTTGACTCGGGTCCGCTCTCGCGCACCACGACCCAAGACCTCTTCTGGCTCTTCACCAACAGGATTACCATCCGTCATATAGATGTCTGGAAGCTCGTCTTCGGCCATGAGCCGCGGAATGCGCTTCGAACCTGGACCGTTGCCGTATAGAGGATCCGCTGCACGTTCTTCATCAATTTGTTGGAAAACAGTAACTTCATTCTCACTTCGCGCAAGGATCATGTTCAACTCTTCGTCGTCCATCTCGTCTTGTTCACCAGAGTCGGCTAAATCTGCAGATTCCAACAGCGTCCGAAGCATGGCATCACGATCAGTCTCCGATGATTTGTTATCAAATCGACCGGCTTGGATAACTTTTTCATCCATATCAAGCTTGAATTTGGCTCGTTCCAAGATCTTTTCTTCGACCGAATTCGAGGTAATTAGACGGAGAATACGAACTTCATTCTTTTGACCAATACGATGAGCACGATCCTGAGCTTGTAGATCCTGGTGAGGATTCCAATCCGAATCATAGATAATGACGGTGTCGGCAGTTTGCAAGTTCAAACCTAAACCGCCAGCGCGAGTGGACAGTAAAAACATGAAATACGGCGAGTCCGGGGCATTGAAGGCCTTCAGAAGATCCGATCGCTCGTCGGATTTAGTGTTACCGTCCAAACGCAGGTACTGGATTCCACGGTATCTCAAGAAATCTTCCATGATATCCATAATCGCAGTCATCTGGAAGAACATCAAGACACGATGTCCCGTGGCTTTATACTTGGGCAGGATTCGATCTAGTAATTCGAATTTACCTGCTGTTCGCCAAAGAAGGTCATTACTAGTGTTCGTAGGGTTCATCTGGTTCTCTACTTCATCAAACACAAAGGGGTGATTGCAGAGTTTTCGGAGCTGCATGATCATATTGCTAAGACCTTGAGTTTTGGTCTTGCCACCCTTTCCGTCGCTGATCGTAATCTTCTGATGCGTGACCATCTGCTTATATAGACGAGATTGGAGGGAAGAGAATTTGCACTTGATGACTTTCTCGGTCTTGTCCGGCAAGTCTTTCTCGACATCCTTTTTGAGACGACGGAGTAGGAAAGGTCGCAGCACTTTATGAAGACGGCGAATGACAAGGATCTGTTCTTCTTCATTCAGCTCCATCTTGTCTTGCCCGCCGGTATTTGCGAACGGGGTGTTGAACCATTCATCGAACGTTTTGACCGACTTGAAAATGTTCGGGAGGACAAAGTTGAGCATTGCCCACAATTCACCCAGATTATTTTGAAGAGGGGTACCGGTAAGAATGAGACGGAACCGAGTGTTGTAGTACTGAGAAATCGTAGCACTCAACTTTGAATTGGTGTTCTTCATACGATGTCCTTCGTCAATAATCATGTGAAACCACTTAATCTTACTCAAGATCGGGCGATCTTTAATGATGTATTCGTAGGTTGTTAACAAAACCTGAAATTTCCCTTGGCGAATCTTCTCTTGATGCTGCTTTCGTGTGTTTGGAGGTCCCTTGTAGACGATACGGCTGACAGACGGGGCCCACTTCTCAAACTCCATGTTCCAGTTTGTTAATGTACTCAGAGGTACGATGACAAGATACGGGCCTCGCTGAAGCTTGCGCTCAATGAGGTAAGTGATCAAGCTGATCGTCTGGATCGTCTTGCCGAGACCCATTTCGTCGGCAAGAATACCGTTGAGGTTGTTGTTGTAAAGCGACAACATCCATTGCAATCCTTTAATCTGGTATTCCTTGAGGGTACCACCGACCAAGATATTGGCTTGCTCTGTGACCTCTTCTTTAACACGATGGGCCACGGCGTAGTAGTCAATCTTGCGGTTGGCCTCTTCATCTTCCTCGTCAATCTCGCTCTCTTCATCCTGCATGAATTCGTCACCATAACGTTCTGCAGCTTGTCGCTGCTGTGCCTTAACAGAAGATGCTAGCTGATGCAAGAAGCCATCAGTCTGTCTAAGAAGGTGCGTGATACGAGTATCCTTCGCCTGATCGAGGAGCTTAAGGTAGGCTTCTTCATCGTTAGCCTTAAGCGCCTGAAGACGTTGTTTAGCAGTACGCTCGATACGCTTCTGCTCTTCCTTCTCGATATTGAAATGGTGCACGTGCATAGCTCTTCCTATTCTCGACATCTTACTCCTGGCGGACTGGGCTGAGTTAGCAATCTCGGCCTTATGGTGTTGCACTGATTGGAGGAAGTCAATATGCTTCTTCTTCTCGCGACTTTCACGGGCATCTCGCTGCTGCTTCTCAAGCTTCTCAGTGATACGAGCCTCGCGCACGCTTTGCTTCTTGGTCCGTCGGTATTGACTACGATTAGTAGTCATTGCCAGATTATCATAATGCATCATCTGGCGACCGATTTTTTCGCGTAAAGCGCGTTGCTTGGCATATAGTTCGAGGGACTTCAACTCTATAATAGCCTTTCTTTTCAATGTATCATCAGGATCGAGGGTTTCCTTAATAGTATCCCAATGGGCAATATTTCCGGGTAGAGACTTTAACTCAGCATATCTCGCCTTCATGCGATTGAAGATTATAATTTCTCGTTCATGCCTCAATTGCTCAAAGTCAACCCCAGTAGGGAATATACTAGGGATGATAAGTCGCTGCTTTCGTTGTCCATGGTCGTAATAGCTAATGTCCTTGCGGACAAGGCCACCCTCGTACGGGGATTTGATTGTCTTGAAAGTCCGGCCCTTCGGTAATGAAGCTTCGGACTCAACCTCACCATCAGGAGGAGTAGAACCAGCCTTTGCCGGTTCGGGTACTGGGGTTGCGGCAGCTGGGGCCGAAGCAGGAGGCTGAGTCGATTGTTCAGCAACTGCTTGCCTTCGTTGACGCTGCGCGTTTAACGCCTGTTGCATCTGGTATGGTACCCCGGTATTCTTGCTTAGCAACTTGAAAGCCTGGATCTGCTGCCTAAGGAGCCCTAGCTGTTGCGGAGAGAATTGGGCCATTGGAGACGTCGTCGAAGGCGAAGACGTGGTTGGCTGGGCGGTGGGTCCTGCGCTGGAAGGTAATGCAGAAGTGCTCAAAGCAGTTGACGAGGGCGGCTGCGTGGTATGCGGGACGGGTTGTTGTTGTTGCTGTGGTCGCGGACCGGGCTGAGATCCATTGGCGTTGCCATTAGGAGAATTGTGTGCCATCTGCGCGGTCTGCATCTGTATATAACTCTGCTGTTTGCGTATTCGCTGCTGTTGGAAGTTCATCAAAAATTGACTCGTCTTCACAAACTCGGGGTCGTTCTGCGGAACGCCTTGTTCCTTCATCTGCTGATATTTCTATATCATTGTTAGTATATGGAAGGTAGAAGATGGAAGGCAGGATCAGCCTCAACACGACACAAACGTAAGGCACATTGACGGGGTCACGAACCGCATACATATCCTGGATCTGTTTTTGGTTTATCTGCGCCGGCATAGCCGATGAACCAGGGTGGTGAACGGTAGGAGGGGCCTGAACAGATGCCATATTGAACTAACTCGAGGGTAACTCGATATGGATCCTAACAAGTTTTATTATTCTCCCAACCACTTTATGAGGCGTTCATATCTAAAGCACAATTGCAACGACGGTAGGGTATTACGCGAGGCCCGGAGGTTGACTAAATCCAACCGTATTAAAAGAGCGACTATATTGAAGGTTGGTTGGTGATGAAAAGTGGTGGTGGACGTCGATGTTGATTAACCAGCACGTCGTAGGCCTTAGCCCGAAATCAATGTGTGGTGTTGCGCCGAACAGGAATTGCTCGGAAGCAAAAGTTGGGTTGGGAATGACGGAGGACGTTAGGGCGCGCGAAGATTCCGGTCGCGGCGCGCGGTGTCGTTTACCGGAATGCCAAAAGAAAACGCGGTGGGGATCAACAGTAAAGTAGGGAATTCTGCCTTTTTCGCCTTCGCGGTCGCGCGGGGGGGGAACGTGAGTCGAAAAGGACAACGGCCAACGGGGTGCAAAGGCAGGTGGTTGGCTGGGAGCGCGTAAAAAGACAGTAGAGGGGGGCTGTTTTCGGCGAGAAAATCGCGTAAAATAAAAATTGGAGGTCACTCCGGATACTTGTCGATGAATTTAGACGGGGATGGGTGATGCGGCTCGCTTTTTTTGATGCGCGATTGATGGCGTGGAAAGAGATGGTTTGATGAAAGGCGCACAACCGCACAAACAAGTCCATCTCCCTTTTGCCTGTCACCTGAGGGAAAAACGCACTAGCGACCCCAGCCCAGAAACTAACCAATCGGTCTAATGATAGCCCGCCTAACCCCTGTGATTTCTTACCAACAAGGTGGTCAGTGCACAACGCTCAACCCATTTTCATTGGTTGAAAATATATGTTGGTTAGGTACTTAGGTACTCAGTACATATGTACATTATTATGTATCTAGATCAGTGTATTCTGTACTGTTAATACATTCGATAGCTAGATGCTCAATACCTAAACAAAGCATGACAAGGCCAAGAGTTACTCTATTTGTCGGGCTTGTCCATTCCAATCAGGTAGTTTGTATTCTTGGTATCATGCCGTGAACCCCTAGGTTTTGCAGACAATAACCCTCCTAAAAGTCAGACATAGCGTGTCCTATATCTAATAATACGGTTACTAAGAGCCTCTTTTATATCCAGTCACTAATTAGATAGTCTGGCCTGTCGATCTATGGGCCTACCTTTCATAGGTTTCCTGTATGGAACGCTAGGGAATCCTACCCAGTCCTGCGGATAAGCTTCATGAAATTTATAAAGGCGACCTAGGTGGTTTTCGGATAAACAGCCCTGAAGGGAAGCTGTCTTCTAGAAGCCGAACCTTTAAAGAGCCTTGGCACATCACTCTGTTAAGTGGGTATTCTATCATCTTTTGACTTTCTTCTTCTCTGGGCCTTCTTCTTCTTCGTCGCTCACGTCGGCGTATTGTGTAACCGGCTGTGTGCTCTTCCAGGCCTTCGTAAATACGGGATCCTTTTTCGCCAGGTCTGCGTACTTCAGAAGCGCTTCTCTGGGGTCCTCGTGCAACATGCGACTTAATGGAATATTCTCGGAAATATGCTTTTCGTCAGGTTGACTGCGCATGAATGGCGTTTGCTGAGGGACGTGTGGTCTCCTGGGATCCTTTGACTTTCCAGATGCCGTTATACCCGTTTTCTTAGTGCCTGGCAGAGTACCAGGGGCAACAATTGCATCCCCGGAGAGTCCAAGGGATTGATCGGTAGTAAACTCTGGATTGTCATCTATATGCCGTCTCTTCGGCGCGCGTGACATGACGTCTACCGCGCCTCGTGTTGACATTGTAGGGTTGTATAAGATATGCGTTTCTGCATTTGCAGAGCCAGTGACGATTTGATTAATCTTTGGGTGCCAGTCTACAGTGATCACAGGCGACCCGGGCGTGACTAGCGTAGTATATTCGGAGCGTAGGTTCCCTGGGTTTAGTATGTGAAGATGGCCCGTGGCCGATCCAGTGATAATACTGGTAGAGTTCGGTGCATATTTAATATTGGTAGTCGGGTAGTGATCCGATGTAGATGTATGCTCAACGGTGACAAGGGGCTCTTTAAACTTCCGCGTATCCCACAATTTGATCAGGTTGTCGCCGCCTCTTGTGACTACCATACGCCCGTCGGAACTGATATCTATCCCTCCGGTCCAGGTATTCGGTTTATGAGCTTCTCTGATCTCCCCAGCGGGTCGTGTGAACGGACCGTTTCCACTCCACATCACAAGTGTACCATCTAGAGCTGCAGAAATAAGGACGTTATTGCCTCCCTGGGCAGGACTGCCCCAGGCGACAGCAGTCATTCGTGTCCTACCTGCAGCACCTGCAGCTTTCGACTTGAAGACTATTACCTCCTTTTGGCTGCGCTTGTTGTTGATATCCCATATACGCAATGTGCTATCCGTCCCAGCCGTGACACAGAGATTTTTGTCTGTAGGATGCCACGTACCTGTTGTGACCTCAGAAACGTGGCCCTTGGTATTGTTCATATCTCGAAGATACATATCGCCTTTAACAAACTCGGTGACGATGTCTCCATCTCGAGACAGGATTTTGGCTTGGGGGTGTGCTGATATGCAGAGGAAGAGACTTCCAGCAAGAGGGTTAAATTCGATATGATGTATCGGGTGTGACTCTGTGTTTGCAGACGATGCTTTAGTTTCGTAAGGATCGACGCTCCTGAAAGCACGGATCGTAGACGGGGTTAAGGAGGAAAGATCGTGGAGCTTGACAGTGCAATCAATAGATCCTGATATTAGCCGGCCGCCTGCCGGATCTAGCGAAAGCGAGGTGACGGCACGATCATGGGTCTTAATGACCATCTCATGAGAAGTCGGATACTCATCCTCATCATCTGAATCGTCATCTGAGTCGTTCTCGCTGTCGCTTGTGCTGTTGGAGTCCGATTCCTGAGACTTAGGTTTATGTACCGTTGGTTCGTCGACGGTTCTCTTGCTTCGGTCGATTTGCGCGGCAATGTCAGCCTCCCGATGTTTTTTCCCAAACGAAGTGGGCAAGAACGCGCGCATGGGATCATCGTCGGCTATGGTTGGCCCTTCGATTTGAATGTCCTCGTCGTCGCTCATTATGGCCTAAAATTTAGGTTGAAATGGTGAAATTGAAGATTGTAGAGTAGAAATGAGTTGGAGGAACACGAGGCTGACAGGTAGATGTATGAAGCTACTATGTACCTAGATATGGTATTGAAGCTTAAAGCATTGAGCTTGAGCTAATGAAGGTGGAGACTCTTTATGCGCCTAACTTGGCTGCATGATGACGAAGACCTTGTGCTTGTAACTTGCAGTATAATTCTAGGTCTATGGGTACTCGACCTGACTTACATAGTATGGACATGTATCCTTAGGTAATATTAGGTAATATGTATCAAAATCGCAATTGGCATCCCCTTTGCGACTAAAGATGTAGTGAATAGGTTGTACTTGCCTACCTAAGGTAATTAATGTAGCTAGACATTTTCATTTTTGTAAGACGCTAGCTTCAGTCGTCCATCTACCTATTCTCTCTCTCTATTCTTTTTCGGTGGTTACCTACCTATCTATTTAAATGAATCCAACCAATACTTTACTCCATTTTCTGTAACTATTTACTAAACCAATCGCCATACATATACTCCTCGTCTTCCCAGCTGGTAGACTTGTGGAGGGGGCGTGCAAGAACCCCGACTACGCCGATCAATGAGCATTTCTCCATTACTTACCTACTTACCTACCTACTTACCTATCATCTAATAAACTCCCTTTTTCTGACGTGAGGTGCTACTTGTAAACCCGCTTCAGGTTCAGCCCGATGAACCCTTTCGCAGTCGGTATTCACGGAAGACCCGGTAATAATCTGGCGCAATTTAATTGCTGCCAATCGAGGACTCTCTACGACCTAAAACCCAACGGTATTGCTACCACAGTCTCGCCTGCTGTAGCCCTCACAAACACGAATGACGAGCTTGTCGGCCGGAAGAACCGATATCAGTATGGGTTGGGCCGTGGACGACGCGACAAATGATCATAAGGTTGGGTCGAATCTGGGTGAATGGAGCTCGCTCATTGGTATTATAACAGCAATATCAGGCAATGTCTTAATCGCCCTAGCGCTCAATGTCCAGAGGTATTCGCATATTCAACTCCACCGTCGAAGAGTCGAGGCGCGGGAGCGAGCGAGGGAGGCTCTGAAGAAGGCGAGGAACGGACATCATAATGGCTACGGAACAACTGAAACATCTATCGGCGATGCACAGAATAATAGCGACGAAGTAGCCGACACGGCAGATGTTCATCCACTTTCCCAGTCGATACAATCGGTCGATTCTAACTTGACTGAGCAATCATGCGACGATCCCAAGGTTTCTTCGTCATATTTGAAGTCTCCATCCTGGTGGGCAGGTCAGGTCCTCATGACAATTGGCGAGATGGGCAACTTTCTAGCCTATGGATTTGCGCCGGCCTCGATCGTGTCTCCGCTAGGCGTCGTAGCCCTAATATCAAACTGCGTCATCGCACCTATGTTCTTTGGCGAGAGATTCCGGAAGCGCGACTTCTGGGGTGTAGTAATCGCTGTTGGTGGTGCTGTCACGGTCGTGTTAAGCGCCAAGCAAGAGGAGACAAAGTTGGATCCGCACGACGTTTGGGATGCAATCACGACGATGGAATTCGAGATTTATATGGGCATTTCTATTCTGCTTATTATAATTCTAATGTGGGCAAGTCCAAGATATGGTAACAGGACAATCCTGATTGACCTAGGACTTGTTGGACTATTCGGTAAGCTTTATATGATTTTCTTCCTTGTAGAAAGCTCGGTGCTAACCAAAAGTTCAAAAAAGGGGGATATACCGCTCTGACAACCAAGGGTGTCTCTTCGATGCTTTCGTCAACCCTCTTTAAAGCATTTGCTACCCCAGTGACATATGGCCTCATAGTTATCTTACTGGGGACCGCAGTTATGCAAGTCCGATACGTGAACAAGGCACTACAACGATTCGATTCGACGCAGGTTATACCTATACAGTTTGTATTATTTACTTTATCTGTAATTATCGGAAGTGCTATTCTGTACCGAGACTTCGAGCGCACAACGGCACAGCAGGCCGTCAAATTCATCGGTGGCTGTCTTCTCACCTTCTTCGGTGTCTTCCTCGTTACAAGCGGCCGGCCGCGACAGGAAGATACGGACGAGCTATCGGACGACGAAAATGTGGAAGAGACTATTGGTCTCCGAGACCAAGAAGCGTCCGGGCCTTACACTGACCGAGCTGAGCAGCCTAGAGCAGACGAACAACAACCAACTTCTTCGCCGCTATCGAGGCGTCCGTCGTACGTCTCGCGAAACGGCTATTCAAATGGAGGTACCAAACCCCTACCTCGCCCGCATAGCAAAGCCCCTTCAATCAACAAACCCAACGCGTCAGATTCGAGAACATCTCTTCTCCCAACCCCAGCCGAGGCATCACCACTACTCAATAACCCATGGAGAAACTCTCTTGAGGATCAATCATTACATCCAGGACTACCACTTAGATCGTCAGCGGATAGTGTCCCAACGGTATATTCGATAGCTTCTGCCGCTATATCGGAACCCCTTCAATCAACTATGAGTCTTCCGCAGCCAGTCGTCCCACCATCATCTCCGGATCGACCAACAACTCCACGTGCTTCTCAGACCTCCAGACCACACAGCCATCACTTTTCTAATGCCTTTATTTCTCCATCACCGCTGTCATCAACAGTCAGCGCCGTGGTAGCTGATGCTCTCCTACGTGGCGAAGAGAATCCAGGTGGCAGAAGAAGGTCAATTCGACGAACAAGGCCTGGCATTAGATCGAGCTTGTTCGTCCCCCACAGTGAGGACGGTATCAGTTCAGCAGCCGAACCTCTTCTTCAAAGTTATCGCGACGACGAGGAACTTTCCTACCAGGACGACCCCTTACCAAGCGACCGCAAAACAATCCGAGGACGAGCACGCAGCCTGAGTAGTACATTAGGAGAATTTTTCGGACGGAAGAAGCGGAGAAGAGTTTCGGATCCAGAATCGGGTACAGACCACGAGAGTGCGCATAGCGATACTTCGAGAGTCGATCAATCGACCGACAACTAGAGCAGGCGTTGGTTGATTCACAAAGCTACATTCATATTAATATATCCCCAGGCGTGCTGAAGTGTCAATTCTTTTATGGGTGAGGCGGAGCGGGGTTGCATTGGATAGGAGTTTGGTGTCTTCTCATTGGTATTGTCGCTAGAGGCATGCGGCTCCGTCCATACCCAGCTCGTATAGGGCTCGTCGGGTTTCAAAGCCCACATAGATCTTTATTAAAGAAGCTAATCGAGATATCCCTTTTGTTTAGGCGTCAGAGTCTGTCGTATTTAGTTGATTTATTCTTACGTGCATATACTTTATTACCATAGTCTAACCGCAGCATTTACGCAATCAATATCAGGTCATTGCAATGTCTATCTTAGAACTTTGGATATCTGCCTCCCAGAACAATTCTAGCCATTGCGTTTCTGTCGGGAGATCGCCATGATGTGTTGCTATACTAAGATCTCCAAGTCCCCACGGCACCACTGTTACTACGTACATAGGAGGGGACTGCGCCAATAGTATGTGACCTTAAGCTGCGAGTAATAAAACCCCTTAATAGTCTAGCTCGTGTTCATACGACTAGAAATAGCCATACGATACCCTGCAAGATCGACTCTGTCTTTTTTATTCAACAACCAATCACCTCAGCGATTCCTTTTCGATACTGAGAGCGCCTCGTAGAACCAGGATCTAAGGGGAGGCGGTACAGCTAAGATGACTAAGTTCATAAAGACCCGTAGTTTGTCATCTATGTCTCGTGCCTTTATATATCAGCAATCGAGGCCGGTGAGGATAGTCCCGTAGATATCATTTCATCCTCCAGCCGCAACTCCACTATCAGCATCCAGCATGAACCCCGGGCTCCAGTACTCCCACTCAGGAGCCTGCTTGTCAACCCAGAGCATGCCCTCGCCCAGGAGATCATCCACCGCCGTCTGCGCGCGCGCCCTCGCCCAGCGCAGATTCACCATAAGCATCGAAACGCTCACATACCCAAGCACCTGCGCGGCCTCGAGCACGGCGCTCTGATCCGTATTCAGCTCCTTGGGCACGGAGCGGATATACGGCTTGCTGCCCACGCGCACAACGGAGTAGCTCGAGCCAAGCGGCTTCAGGGTCCCGACAGCGCGGAGCACATCGTCGTCCGCGATCTCAGGAGCGCCCTCCATGCGCCCGCGGGACAGCCGCTCACGCAGCTCGCGCACGCCGATCAGCCCGCCGTTCTCGCCGCGCGTAGCCCCGCATACCTCGACCACGCGCACCGCGAGCTCGAAGTAGAAATCGTTAACGCTGCGCCCTAGTAGCTGCGCCCATAGGCTGGACGGCCCGGTGCTGCTGCCGTGTGAAGAGGACGCCAGCGGGTCTACGCCGATGGCGGCGCACATGCGCGCGAACTGCGCGCGGAAAGACGGGTCCGACCGGATGTCCTTGGCGTGGGTCTGCGCGAACTGTTGCAGGAGGGAACGGAAGACGGAGAGTTGCGTTTCGAGAGCCTGCGCGTCGTGGGATCGTAAGGAGTTCCCGTGGGAGGCGAATTGTGCCGATGTTAGGCGGGAGCGGTCGAAGGCGGCGAGGCCGACACCTTTACGGGACATGGTTGTAGATTATTCTCTTCTATATGCTCCAAGCTCCAGGGGAGGACTTGAGAGAGTAATGGCAGAAACAGTTATACGTTCCAACTCCTCCGTTGGTCACTATGTAGGTTGAAGTATAGACTTCTAGTCGAGCACGTGAACTGGTTTATGCCCGTATTACGAAGGAATATGTAGATATTTCCTAGTGTGAAGAGGGTTGTATAGCTACGCAAGAGAAGATATGATTTGGTTCTATATATCGAGGAGTATTTGCCAGTATCATTTGCTAAACAGGTCAAGTTGTGTTAAGTTGTAGGTTTGATGTTGAATATTACAAGGTTGAATATATCGAGGGGCATTCAGATGACTTATAGGTGGTACGTACCTAACCTTGAATGATTACATAACATTAGGAACATTAGGTACCTAGGTACTTAAGTACAATGCCCCACCGGAAATTCTTCGGTCCTCACTTCACCTTAGAGGCTCACCTTCAACCAAAAACGGCTCTAGCGCATTTTAAGGGCACAAACCCTTTTTCGACATTTCGGCAAAAGAGACGCGAAAATTGTTCCTCCCCCATCACCAATTCGATTGACCCTCCTGTTGAAGCCTAGGCATTTTCGGTTGCGAATACCTTCAACATCCACCACCACATCCAGACAAATCCGCAGCCATGTCTACGCAAAGCGTCCAGTGCTTCGGCAAGAAGAAGACGGCTACTGCTGTCGCCCACTGCAAGGTTCGTTTTCCTGTTTTGGTCAACTACAAAAAGAAGCGAGATGGGATAGACTATCAACGTCGCCGTCGCCAACGGATGGAAGAGATGAAGAAACACGTGAATAGACTAGATGTACTAACGAGACTTTTTATTATAGGCCGGTAAAGGTCTCATCAAGGTCAACGGCCGACCGCTCTCTCTGGTTCAGCCCGAGGTTCTCCGATTCAAGGTACGAAACGAATATTTTTCGAGCACGATACCCCATACGCATGCCCGATTTCTCTATTATCAAATATATTCATCAATCCTGCTATTCAAAGAACAATTGAGCTTTGAAACCCTTGTCCCTAAATTCAACAGAAATCCAGGGGGCGAGATACAACGAGAAAATAAAATAAAATAAGACTAACACAAATCCAGGTCTACGAGCCTCTCCTAATCATCGGCCTCGACAAGTTCGCCCAGGTCGACATCCGCGTCCGCGTTACCGGTGGTGGTCACACCTCGCAGGTCTACGCCGTCCGCCAGGCCATCTCCAAGGCTCTCATCGCCTACTACCAGAAGTTCGTCGACGAGCATAGCAAGAACCTACTCAAGCAGGCCCTCGCCCAGTACGACCGAACCCTCCTCGTTGCCGACAACCGTCGGTGCGAGCCCAAGAAGTTCGGCGGTCCCGGTGCCCGTGCCAGATACCAGAAGTCCTACCGTTAAACGAGTCCTCGACGGTATGCCCGCGGGGGTTGGGGATGGTTATGGTGGTTGGAGAAGAAAAGGGAAGGACGAAGCCGCTGGGATCGTTTTGTGGAAAGAAAGGCAGTGGCCGCTCGGGTCTTGTTCTCCTTTTTTTGCGCGCGCAACGTATTGGGACGGCTATGGTCGGTGGTCGTACCTCTGGAGTCTTAAGAAAAGGGAATCCTTTGCGAGGGCTATCTCTACTACTGATGCCTTCTTCTCTCTATTATCGATGCATTTGCATGGCCTGGTTGTAAAGGGATTAGGCGAATGAAACGACAACATTTTCTGCAAACAAGAGAAGTAAAAGCGTGCTGGCCCGGGACTTCAACTTAGTGATTTAATGTAAGATGACCAGGTGAACGAATTGTTGATCCAAATCTTTGTAATACTCTGGCGAGGTACGTCCTTAAGTGTAGTATTTTAATTCACCAAGCTCTGTTTAGCAGGAGAGGCAAGTCGCTTTGTATTTCAGCTCTCATGCTTATAATCAAAAGGTGTATAAAAGGTGCTACTTTGCCACGGATGGCATCTAGCAGCACTTCGTAGTACATCCGATGCCCTGAACTAACTATACAGAAGAATCAGGTGTAAACCAACCCTCTACTAGGTTAGGAACTTGCTTTTCTATAGTTCTCATATGATTACTAGTAATGCTAAAAGTGGTATAAAACCACTCGTGAACGTCGTAGAAGGTATACATCATGATACAACACAACCAATATCCCAACGCCTATGCCCATGCCTCCGCCCGTGTCTAGACCGAGTCTGTTGTTCATCCTACGTATCCCACGACACGAGCCCAGCCTCCTTCCCACCACCATCCAACTGCACCACCACGGGCGCAAACTCGCCCCTCTCATCCTCGTCCTCGAAATCCGACATCTCCGCACTCACCATCTCGCCATCCTCCAACATCAGCGAGCCCGCGCGCAAATACTCGGCTCTCAGGTCCCAACCCAGCCGACTGCTCAGCCATACCTCCAGGTCTACAAACGCGTCTCGCACTAGCTGCAGATCGGGCGTGACGACGTCGTCGTCGTCATCGCCGCCTAGAGCCTGGAACAGCTCGTCCAGCCGGGACGCGTACGTGGTTAGCGAGCGCTGCAGCTTGCGCGCGTTCGAGGGCATCATGTCCAGCACGTCGCCCTCGAGGTGCCGGTCGCTGTACACGAGCTGCGCGTGGAACGTCTGGATCAAGCGCCGGACGAGCTGGGGCTGTGCGGTGGCGAGGGCGTAGCTGCGGAAGATGAGGTGCGTGGTGTAAAACCACCATTGCTCCAGGCACGAGTAGTTGCCGAGGTGCATTCCCGACAGGAAGGCGAACGAGAGCTCGCCTGCGAGGTCTTCGAGTTTGCGGCTCTCCAAGGTCTCGAGCACGAAGGGGGTTGGGTCCAGGGCCTGCCGCGTGCGCTCATGGCCGGACGCCTGGGGGCTGATGAGAGGTGCGTTCATGGGGAATGTGAAGCGGAGCTGGGACTTGCCGCTGGCGTAGAGGCGGGCTTCCTCGGCTAAGGTCGTCTCTCCGGCGACGCTGTCTTGTGTGGTGATCTGCCAGCTTCGTTGGGTCTTGCCCGTGATTCTGTTCAGGAGATCCGCGTCGATCGCCGACGTGAGCTGGAACCATATGTTCTCGTTGTTTAAGAAGGACGGAAGATGCTCGGTGTCTCGACTGGGTGGTGCAAGGAGCACTCCGGACGTAGTAGCCCGGAGTTGGTAAGGCGAGAGGCTACTAAAAATCTGCTGCAGCGCCTCCTTTTGGAACCTATCTTCGGCTTGACTGGCAGGGTCGCTGAGGACTTCGTTGAATTTGTCCCACTGCTTGACGTAGACCTCGCCGTGCTCCCATTCCTCTCTCTCGGGAGTGACTATCCAATACGCGCTCCGCGACGACGTCAGCTCGGAGGGGGCAACCCAGATAAGATGCGCGCCCGGCGGGATATCGCGAAAGCCCGGAAAGGGTTTCTTAGTCGAGAAAGACACCGTGTCGCAGCCTATAGTAAAGCCTGCGGGAAGATCATCTAGGATGAGGACATCGCCACCCGTCGGGAACGTATGTCCAGAGTCCAGGGGTGGCCCCATGGCGACGTCGGGAGTAGTAAGTGGCGTATCCAGATCCGAGTCCTCTCTAGGCTCGGTAATTCGAAGAGAACCCAGGGGTAAAGTGCCGATGGTAGGAAGAGACTCGACGGATTTGGATTGTTTCACGGAGCGCAGACCTATCGGGTTCGAAGCTGATTTAGAAGTTGAAGTTGGATGGAAATCGACCGTCTCTCCACAATTACCCGGCATTGATGTGACCTTTGGTGGGTCTAAACCCGGGATGGAAGAGACTGACGAGACTCCCGCAGCTGGCATGATTCACTACCTAGGTAGGTGAAGTGATTTAATATGATAATTCCACGATACTGGGAAATACACGAATATGTGTTGCGAGCCGAATTGTAGTGTTGATACGTGATAAATCCGAAATTCAGTCGCCAAGTCGCTAACTAAACAGATTAACTCTGAACAAAACCGCCCAGAGGACAAAACACTCAAGGAACGTCCCTAACATGTTTTCTTTGAGGGTGGAAACGATGAGAACTTTGTAGGGACAAGGGGATTCTCAGGGTCCTTCCCTAAGCAGAATGACGTTGATAGGTAGGACCGAGGGAGGCACAAGAGAGATTATAATAAAACAAACCTCGTATTCTATCTACGTCATACGCCTCGGTTTTGTCGCATATCCATAACGCCTAGGGTAGCCGCCTCATCAGACGTCACCACGATCGTGAAAGAATATACATACATAGGTAGGTAGGTGGGTAGTTTCTCATTTTTACTTTCGGTTGGATATGCCGAATGATCGCCATTCTTGGCCTCTAAAAAGTGGTAAACACGATGTTGTGTTTGTGTTAAAAGATCAAAGGTATTATCGTGATCGATGCTACACTATGAGGGTTTATTAAGACACATCAGTCAGCGATGACTGACGCCACCTGCAGCCAATAAGGTATTCCGGAGCACATTTACTCATAGTAACCCAATAGAGCCGCATGGCTGTGGTGTAATAGGCAGAATAATAGAAACTTAACTTGAAGATAGTTGCTGGATATTATTAAAGTGGATAGTCAGGGGAGATGTATAAGACAAGTTATAAGTCGGCCTATCCATTTGTATAATAATGCAAGGGACAACGCTAGTAACGGGTTCAAAAGGCCACTTATACGCATATTTATAATATACATATATACTAGCATCTCCCATCCTCAAAAAGGAAACACTAAAATGAAAGAAGCACCTGCCCATCTTTCTTAGCCTGGGACGAACGCTAAAACAGAGACGGGATAAAAATGATGAATAAAATAAACCCAGGTCCGGTTCTTTTCCCATGCCGCTCATCACCGCGCTGTCTAGGGTTACATCGAGCGAGTTTAAAAGACCCCGTCTCCTCGGCCCGCATACGGGCGCTACTTAGATCCTACATACGTACAATACATACATACGTATATACATACATACGTATATACATACATACATACATACATACATACATACATACATAGTCGATAATAATAAAAGACAACCTAGAAACACATCAGCCCTTTATGGTATTAGCGGCCCGCCGCGTTGGGTCTACCTGGGCCTTGGGGGGGGAGGGTCCATCGAGGATCGTGGATCGTGAAGAAGAAGAAAAAATTGTATGGTTCAAGTATAACTAGTTAGTTATGTAGTTAACTAGTTGTATATGTATAAGTTTGGTTCAACCGGGGGGGCGTGAGCGCGTGCCATATGCCAGCGACGCCCGCATCGCGCTAGACCCCCTTGTCTAGTTCGGCCGCAGTCTTCCACACCAACACCAAAAACCTCCTTCGTGCCAGTCCATATACACTATTATAGTAGAATCGAACCTACCTAACCTAACTAGAGCCCCCCCTATGTATTAACCTAACGTCGTATTTTTAAGATTTTCCCCGGGACCCCTACGTATGTAGTATTAATTAGAACGCTTGCAACGTCGCTAGTGTAAGGCCGATCCCGACAGACGGGAAGGGAAAAAAACTAAGACATGGGTTCCAGAGTTCGGTTCGCTTATGCTGTCTGTCACTTTACATATCTGTCCCGTCCCTGGTGCTAAGTTGGCCGCATGGCCGGGCGTCCTATAGCCCCCAGACTATACATACATGTCTGGTACATACATGCCTTAGTTCCATATACATACCGTACACGCACGACAGGTACCGTACCAGACAAATATTTAAATAGAACGAAGCTTGCAGACCTAGGTACATACATAAGTTCAACCCGAGTTCCAAAGTTCCGTCCAGCCTTGCCTCGACCACAAGTCTGGGGAAGCCTTATGGCCCACAAATCGCTGGGTCCTCCCTCGAGAACTCTTCTAGAAAGAGTTTAAAACAACATCATCTGTCTCGGTCGTATAATACATCTAATATATGTAGGTATATATATATATATTAGGTCATACCGCTTCTCCAGATTCTGTGTACTTCCCAAGAATATTGTTCCATCCTATTATACCTACGAATACATAGTAAGATGGCTAGCTGCCTAGGTACTTATAAGCTATACGGTGGTAATATGGATGTACACCGGATATTAGTAGCGTCATGGCTAATAGCGGTAAGTTGGGTGTCACGAGAGGGAAGTACCTAACATGAACAGGACTTCGAATGAGGTAACAATGGTCCGGTGGGATCGGCTGTGCGTCTAACTTGGAGAAAATATAAACGGTTTGTGCGACCACACCAAAATAAATTCCGACCTACCTGCCTACTACTACTACCACCTCACTAGTAGCCTTAGGAAGCCTCCTCGTCTACAATATACCAACCCACATGGATGCCTCGTGGCTATGGTGTCACAGGGAAAACTAAGGTACCCTAAATTATAGTGCGTCTTTTTATAACTTGCCCGCCTTCTACCCTACAGCTTGACAGGTACAGGTACAGGTACAGGTACAGATGCAGGTATAGATGGTACATAAATTGAGGCAACAATGGCCAGGCCCTCGCAACATTCACAAAATAGAAAATAGCACCAGATAGCCTTTACAAACACAACGTTATTATTATCCGTGTATCTAACGTAAAACGAAAGATTCTCTTGGCAATGTCGTCCTCGCGCTCTCGTAGGAGTTACTAACCCTACGAGCACACGAGGCCTGGAGTATGCTCCTCCCCACGAATACTGCATCTGCGCTGCAAGTACACGCATGGCGAAATATGTAAGAGAAAATAAGGCATGCCGGGAGCCTGAGCCGTGGGGAGCAGTTCTTCACCTTACAAGCCGACCATTAAAAACAAAGCCGCGCCATGACACAGATATGTCTTGGTTCTTGAGCCTAGAAGCTCTAATCATTTGTTTCGTAACCCGCCCACCCAGACACCAAACCCAATGCAAGGCTCGTCTCCCCACCCTCCCCCGTCCGAGGCCCCGATGCTGTTATGCGAGAAATCAAGATTGGTCATCAGAATGCATTTGCTGCGAATCATCCACCCCGACTCGAGCAAGTAATACTCCCAAGGCAATGCTGTCGTAAAAATGACCATAAGCACCCCGTCTCTACCATCCTATCGAATCAGAAGGTGTATGTTTTTGTTGCGAAGGAGTCACTGCATATCGTACACCGGGCAGAAGGAGCTGTTTTTATAAGCTTTTTGGTAATCTCATTCTTTAGTAAAAGGGAAAAGAAGAAAAGGTATTTCGACAATGACGACTCTGGAGGTTGAACAGCTACCTAATAGCAGCCGGTGCCACCGAGCACCATTGACGAAATTCCTCATCCTCATTCACGTTGGCTATACATATTCTGATTCTGCGGTCCGTAAGGTGATGCCGGTTGTTGGTAACCAGAATACATATGGTTTGTGGGGCTGTATTCGGGGAGCGGTTGCTGCGGTACAGCTGCCGATGGAGGTGCAGGGTACTGAGCTGACTGGTATCCAATAGGCGGGAGCTGAACTTGTCGACTAGCTGTATATGATGTTTGCGCTTGGCCTGAATCGCCTGCTTGCGGGTCGGCACCTCCATTCTGAGCCTGGGCGGCAGCAACATGACGCTGACGTTCTGCCTCCTCAGCAGCCTTCCGAGCCTGCTCTTCCTCCTTTTTACGGGCTTTCCATTCCTTACGGATCTCCTTGAATTCTGTGCAATTGGTATAGTTAGCACATCTGACCTAATTGGGTTCACCGAAAGGACCATTATTGGACTTGATCTAGAACAAACTAGGTTCTCTAAGAGGCCTAGCCAATTCCTAGCACAGTAGCGGTCCATCCCCCACAACTAACTAGCAAGGCGCAGATACTATACTTCTAAAGGACTCTAAAGCAAAGCTTATTGCCCCTCTTTGAGAGCTTACGTATCGCTATGAAGAAGACGCAATAGAATAAACATATAAAATAATGTAAAATGGGTTTAGCGGTGATCATACCTTCGGGTGTCCGTTTTTGGCCATGACTCTGCATCGTAACGTGTGCGTTTAGATGATTAAGTGTACCATACGCCTTTTCACAGTTATTCCAACCACACTTGTACATTCGCTCGATTTCTTCATAGCGTCGTCGTGGTCGTTTATGTTGCTGCGCTCCAGGGATAGGTACAAACGAATAGACCTGCTGTCCACCATACTGTCAATGAAATCAGTTACCTCACATTATTATGATAGGATTGGAAAAAGCGGCCAACGCCCACGCGTTATAATTAGTACATTCCAAACAGATCGCAGATACAAACCTGTGATCTACACGATCTAACATGTTCTCGAGGTGCAGTTTCTTCGCTACGACTAGCACAAACTCGCCAACCCCCAATATCACCAAAGGAAAGGGAGGAAAAATTACCTACCTGAGCTGGTCGCCCCGGAGCATTCGTTGTTGGCGTGTGAGGGTATACTGAATGTGGGTGTGGCATCTGCCCTGGTGCTGGGTGCCCATAGTTCGCCCAATCGGGTCGTGGCTGCGCGTATAGGTTGCCGGCGCCTTGGGGATAGTTATGCGACATGTCTTGCGGCGGCGGTGCGTAGGGCGAGTATTGGCTAGGAGGCGCGTAGGTAGGGCTAGGTGCCGCGATGGAGGGATCTATGGGTACATCGCTGTCAGATTTGACCTGCTGGGACTGATGGTTGCGTCCATCTTGCATAGGCATGGACGGACTTGTTGGTGTTTGCGCCATACCTCCGCTGCTGCCGCTATGGTTGCTCGCTGGATGGTATTGACGAAGACTATGTTCTGGAAAAGAACTAGTCGACCTCGCGGACTGCGGGTACGCTCCGTACTCTGAGTTCGGAGTCGCAGACGTAGGATAACTGGCGCCCCGCGCTTCCTGGTTACTAGAATAGTGGGCAGCAGACGCGTGATCTGCAGAGGAAGCTTCAGATTGAGTGTCGCCGTAGGTACTTGGATAGGGCGAAGGCAAACCTGACTGCGAATACTCGGGGACGCTCCGTTCCATGAAGTAATCGGCGGCGGCGAAGCAAGCTCTGAGGGCGGCACCCGAGTTCTGGTTCCCAAGTTCGCGCTTGAGGATACGCGGTAGCGGTAACGGTAGCGATGCGCGGTTGCCAGCGAAAGCCTAAGACTCTGTGCTGATACCTAAAACACTACTACTGCTGAACACGATTGGACACTGAACGGGCCGGGGGTTTTTAGTCCTCGAGCCAATTTCGAACTTCCGCAGGGTAGCAGAAAACGGTGTCTTAGGTCGAGGTGGTGCTTGGTAAGAAACGAGAAGGATAGAGTTGCACCAAGGGGGACAAGCTGCGGCTGCACTGGCGTATTTGTTGGCGACTAGTATGGTCATCAACGGGGGGGGACTGGTCCAAGAGGAGATAGCGTAGATCTTCCAATCTTGCCCGAGTCTACAGATAAAATAGTCCCTCGAAGAAGATCCACCAACCCACAGGTTGAGATCAGCCACCAAGTCGTGCTGGAGAAGACAATGCCTAGGTAAAACGGAGCAGAGCTATGTACTAAAAAACCGTAGTCTCCGCCTCAGATGGGGCGCGAGAAGTTGGGGGCCAGTGTGCTTTTGAGTTCTTCTTTTAGATCGCGGGCGCCAACAAGTAGTGTGTATTGCACGACAGATTGCCTGCACCCACCAACCGTTCGCGGTAGCAGTTAGAGACCGGGCGGGCTTATGAGGGCGGGAATTGTCAAGTACTGCGCACGATCTGATGCAGGGTGCGATCTGGTTTCCCTTGAGAAGCAACCCCTTGTACTGCGTTATGAACGCGTGCGGCGGACCTAGTGGCTTATGGGGTCTGATGGCCAAACTCGCAGTGGAGTGTGAAGATACTTTACTAAAATAGTTCGAAGTAAAATGGACGAGGGAGTGCTAGAAGACTCGAACGATTCCCGAAGCCGTCTAGACTGCGAGACTTAGCGTGTCTTGTCAGAACTACCAAGGGTTGCGATTGGTGGCAGGGGCCTCAAGGTGAGTTTGGACCGGCGCGATGCTAGAGCAATGCTAGAGCAATGCTAAATTTTTCGGAATGTCGAATTATAGAGCCGCTAAAAGATCCCAAGCTGGGCTAGACTGACTCTTATTACTCTTTCCTTACGTCGCGCTGGGCGTGGACGACTCTTGTATTGGGGTTATATGGATTTTATATGTGTGTGGAAGCGCAGATGAAATCCATGTAAAAAGGGCTGAGAAAAGAGAGTGTGGGTGTGCGTATATGTGTGTTTCCCCCTGCACGCCTCTAGGCAAGGTGCGTATCAGGAAATTATTAATAACGGCTGCAGGAGCTGTAATAATAACTACCTTAAACTACCTTAGGTATGTAGGTAAGTATCAGGAGTAGTGGTAAAGGAAGTAGGTAGCTACCACACACGATCGCCAGCCTAAGGAAGTGACGTGCAGTATGGTGTTTAGGGTAAGTAGGCGTAAATAGCGTATGTAAATAAGTGTAAGTGTGTATGTAAGTGTGTAAGTAGCAACTATGTACTGTGTTGCTAGCAGCTGCTGATGACTTTGTTGGCGAGTGTTGCCTCGCCTGTTGCCAGTCGGCAGTCGACAGTCGCCAAAGAGCCAGAAGGTGGTTAGAGACACTAGTTACCGTCACGGTTTAGGGACCCTGGTGACGACAGAGTTTTGCGTGTTGGGTTGGTGCGCCAAATCATAAACTTTAGTCTCTGACCCGACCGATTCGCGTCCAGACTCAAGCAAGTTTAGATTGGGCTTAGTGAGAATTAGTGCCGAGGGGATGGGAGATGGTGAATTTTTATATGCAGATAGATGCACGCTCGAGGCACGACGCTGCAGTGCTCCAAGAACACGCGTGGAGGGTTGATTGAACGTGCAACTTTGATTGCCGAACCAGAATAAAGGAATGCATGTACTGGTGAATGGCTGGTCTGGTTTGGTAATCTGTCAAAAGGTTGGGGAAGAATGGAAGATTCGGGGGGGATTTTCTCAGTGTCGACTTATTTGATTATTATTTTTATGTGTACATTCAGTCATGTATATTTGGAAGGACCGGGTTCGGTTAACCAATAGAATCACACAGTACTTTACTAACAGGGGGCAAACGACCAAAAACTGGGAGAACTTAGAAGGAAAGATGCGGAATAGGTACATGTAGGAATAACAGGTACATATTAGGAATACATATGTACCTCATATGACTTTGTACTACATACAGTAAGTTGGGTAACTTATTTGTTTTATTTTTTTATTTTGCATTTGATTTCCTTTTCTTACCATGATTCCCCATGTCAAGCATTTCCCTTCTTCTCCATCTCTTTATTACATATTATTATTTTCTCTCTCGAGGCGTCCCGTCTTAGGTAATTCAAAGAATCTAAATTCACCACCAAACTTTATCCTCTACTTCGTACTTCGAGTCCATCCACACTGACCTCGAGTAAAAAAAAGCCCGCTACTTGTCAGAATAACCCCTCGCTACTATTAGAGTACATGATATCTCTTTGCAGCTTGGTGGATTTTTATTGCTCGGCAAGATACTTGCCTAGAGCTGAATATTAAACTCCCTTTCCCTGCTTCTTGAGGCCCCTCTCTCGCCTCTTTTGCCTCTTCCGACTTGCGACCCGCAACACGCAACCGTCTGTCTAAATTCTTTACAATTTGTTTTCCGTCCATGCGAAATCCTCAAAGCCCAGAGAGCCCATCAAAAATAGCCGCCCATCACAACGCGTTTAGAATATAGTACACATAATAAAAATGGTAAAATATCTTAACAGTTCTCTGGGTACTTACAATCTGAGGTGATAACATTCGATGTTCGTGATGTGGAAGTTCAGCTTAGAGGCGCAATGTGGGGAGGCTAAAGCGGTGAAGGTATCTATAAAGTACTATACGCCGCATCCAATGAACGTGTTAGCAGGAGGCAACGGAACCACCCACAAAAGACCCAGCATCCCTGATAAAGCCAGTCGCAGTGCCAATCCCTGGTCATCTTCATTAGTCAACAGAATTTAATGACTGGGGAGGAGAACCCAAGTACCATGGATGATGTATTTCTGCGTTTTATGCAGAGTGGATATCAATGAGGTTACTCTTAAGTAAGCGTACCTAGGTACCGCGTAATTCCGTACTGTACCATGTACCTAGGTACCTTGGAACTAAGCAAGGTGAGGAGGGATCTATCGGCTTATTCCTGCTTAGGCTGCAGATTTTACTAGGACGGGCTAGACTCTACATGGGCTCACCAGGTTTTCATCGAAGAAGAAAAAAAAAAAAAAAAAAGAATCCACATCAGCTATCAATCGCAACTATGGTAATCCCTGAGTTCACAAGGGGCCAAGGCCTACTATGTACGCTAGGAGTCGATGCGAACACGCATGCTAAGATACATAATATGCAATCGGATCGAATAACAGGACATTATTCCGCTCTGCTGCTCTACATATCAAAGACTCCAGTAATAGTCATGATGCGCGCATATATACGGATTAGATCCGCTGCTATCCATTATACATCATTATGTAACCTGTCGTCGACTTTCCGCATCAGTCTAGAGCTTCTAAATTACCTACATACATCCATCCAACATGTATGTTAGGTATGTACATGTATAATGTATACATGCCTACCTAACCTAGGCAGCTAGGTAAGTACATAGGTAGCTACATACATAGTAGGTTAAATGATCAAGACTGATGAAATAAGCATAACGTGGCGTTTCAACGCTTTTAAATAAACATTGGTTTGGGGTCTTGTTTGGGGTGTAGCTTAAGGAGCTAAGCTCTGGCTGGTATCACCAAATATACGACCAAGTATAATAAGTAACCTAACCTATAATATTAATTCTTATTAAGTACGAAGTAACCATAATATTAACACTACAGTTTGGACCGTGTCCTACACGGGATATCCATTTTCTTGCAATTGGGTTCATCATTTGCCTGCCCCGAGTTCAACCTCCTTTGCCGACCACCCTGGGCCGATGCCGCAAGTCAAGTTTTTCCCCCCATGACTTATTGATGGATCCTTACAGGCACTGATTCGTGTCTATTCCCTGTCATACACGATGCCAATATCCACAAATACTGAGCAAAGTACTGAGTACCATATGTACATATGTACCAGTCTCTACCACGTAGGTACAAAGTATCC